TTTGCACAAAATAGGCTTTGAAGATTATAGAAACAAATTAAAGAAGAGGTCTAAAGTTAATTTCATCCAACAAAATGCACAAAAAGTTTGCGGCGGTGGAGAAATCAAAGATTCTTAGTTTAGATAAAATTTTAGGTATTACAAATTTTATGATAAATACATGTTTGTTTTATTTTTATATATTAATATTTATCGGGACCAGGTTCAGAACTGAAGATTAGGGTATCTCATCTTCATCCCCATTTTTTATTTTGGGATTCCCCACCGCCCTCCCCATCCTAGGTCAACTTGGGGATTCCTCGGTCAAACAAAGTGTGGGTTTATGGTTCCCCGTCGGCTATAAGGATTTTCCGTCCCTTTTGATTACAAATTCCTTGGCATGTCAGATAAAGGAGGGGAATCAACTTAATCCGTGTAAGTGAAAAAATATTAGTTAGAGAATGTCGTTGATCGGATAGGGTACCGAATGTGTTTGATCGGTAGAGTCTAACTTCACAGCTAGGTATGTCAACTCCAACCAAACGGATGTCAACAATTGTACATCAACAATTTACGTTACAAGATTTCCTTCTTTTTTAGGTAATCCGAAGTTGTAGGATAGTGTGCGAAATTCGGGAATGTTGTCGATGTATTTATTTTGCATAAAAAATCAAAGTAAGGAAAGTGTTTTGGTTTTGTGACATTTATTAGGATCCCTAAAGTCAATGAACTTGTAACATCCCAAAAATCAAGGTAAAATTTTCTTTTTTCAAAAACCAACCCAACAACCATAAATGTTTACAAAACATAATTTCCAAAAGCTAAAATCACAAATCAGAGTATCCCAAATTCAAATTTCATAAAATCCGAAGGATGTGCACGATCAAGCCTTCGCATTGCCCCGATCCTCTGAAGTATTCGAAATATAACACTTAAACTGTAAGTCAAAGCTTAGGGAGTTCCCCCAAAGTACCACACACAACCATACAGATAACAACATGCATACATGAGTCTTCAACATGACTGGACCGCCTCGTAGGGCCTACAGCCTATCTGGATCGCTCTCTGAGCCTTTGGCCTGACTAGATCGCCTCGCTGGGCCTACAACCTATCTGAACTGCTCTCTGGGCCTTCGACCTGACTGGACCACCTTGTAGGGCCTACAGTCTATCCGGACCGCCCTGGGTATCTTGACCTTCAGCACAAAGCAGGATCGTCTCAACCCAACAAACCATAACATGTCGACGTATACAATAATAATCAATAACCAGCAAGTACATGTAATCGATCTACTAATCTAACACATACTTAGTGAACACAGGTAATCATACCAATTTACTAGTCTAATACATAACCAGCACAACATCAATTCTATATACTAGGATACATAATCCAGTAGGCCGGTATTGGTGTCTTTGACCCACAAGTACAATGAGGAAAACTCACCTGAAACGAAGGTTCAAGAAACACTGCGACGCGCTTCCCTTCTGCACTTCTTGCTCCCACGAGCCCTTAATCACCAAAACATGGAAGAGTCTTAATTAAAACCCCAATCCTTCAAGTTTGACCCGAAGTCAAACTGGTCAAAAAGTCGACGGTCAAACTTAGTCAAAGTCAATGCCACGTCGTGGCCCTCCTTGGCCATGTCGTGGCCATGCCAAAACAGGACAGTCATGATTTTTTACTTCGCCATGCCGTGGCTACCTTTGCCACGTCGTGGCTATTGGAAAAATGTCATTTCTCTCATTAAGAGTTTAATCCTTTCAGATCTAGGCTCATACTTCCAGATCTATTCTCCCATACTGACTTAATGGATAAATTTCCAACTTTATCCATTTGGACTCCGTTTCAAGGCTATATCTACCATTTAATGTCCAATAGGACCTTAATGAAGTTGCAACTTGCACATGGGCATAAAATACACCAAGCATGGTCCTTTTTCTCAATCAACAAAAATATAATGACCTAGATATTCCATCACAGGTCCTGGAGTTCTTCAAGTCCAAATCATCCAAGGAAAGGACCAAAATCATACCAAAAAGCACCTAAACTTGCATCAAGAGGAACATAATTCAAGATGAGAACTTTTACCTTCAAACACTCAGAAATTTGGAGAAGATAGTGGATCCAAGTTCTTTCCTTGATCTCCTTGCACCAAGATGGACTTCCTTCCTTCAAAAACTTCACCAAATCAATGGAACAACCCCAAAATCAAGTCACCAAGCTCAAACTCATGGAAAGGAGGCTAGGGTTTCGAGATGGGGAGGTGGAGGCTGAAGGAGATAACCTAGAGAGGGAGTTAAGGCGTTTATATATGAGGAAAACCCTAAAAATCTCTGATTTGAGCTGCAGCGGTTGCCACAACGTGGCCCCTGGTGCCATGTCATGGCACCTCCCAAAAAACGTGTTTATTAAATTTCATGCCACGTCGTGGGCACCATGCCTTACGTCGTGGCTGAGCATTGCCTTCAAAACCTTATTTTGATTTCTTAAGTATCGTCCAACCTTCTTGGAACACGTGTGGTACAAAACTTGTGCGTAATCTTTGTAATATTTGGATTAGTAGCCATAAATTCTACGCCTCAATGGCTAAATTTGTTAGTAATGATCATGTTTCACATGTTAATCTCGACAAAAACATTGAACATGTTTCCAAAAATGTTAAAATGAGTGAACTAATGCACCTATCATAAAATAAAGTTCTTACACGGGAGAAATGACAATGCTCATAAGAACACTATTGAATCACCTCTAAAGACTTTTCCATTAAATTGGATTCGAGTGATTATGTGGTTGATCATAAAGACCATGCATGCATTTTTTGAAAGTAATGTTAAATATTTTTTTTTAATGTTATCAAACCTACAAATAATGTGTGTTAATGATGGGTTTCTTGATGTGGTGCTGCGATATCTTGGAGCCTTGTGGGTAATGCTTGAATTTCGTAACGCATGTTCACGCTTTAATATGGGTACATGTTTGTGGTTTCTGGAGATAAGGCCATGGTCGCATGACTTCTACATTACATAAATACTTATTTGGATAGACATTGAAGGGGTTTCAGTGAAGGCATGGAGAAAACCTTTTTGAATTTAATAAAAACCTATATGACAACTACATCTGCATTAAATCAACAACCACAAAAATTATATCCGAAAAGTTGTGAGTAATAATAGTATATGGAAACTCATATGTGGTACGGTGAATAAAAATTACTGGAGGGTGAAAGTATAGTAAATGAAAAGTAATATGTGTTACAAGTTAGAGAAGTTACAAAATGGACACCTTTGTTCAAAGATGTGGATAGTTCTAAGAAAATATTATCTGAATCTAATGTTAATTGCATTGATGATTATTCGTTTAAGGTGGTGAGTGATTCAAATGCATAGGGGACAAGGCGACTATGAGAAAGAGATACTAAAAAATGGAATCTTCATAATGACAGGTTCATGGTAGATTTTACCCCGCACCAAAACCAAGTTCACAAGCTACGGATGATGAACCATATTCATGACATTGTTGTGGAAGTCTCAGATGTGGTTAATTGGGTCGGATGGTTCAGCTTTATCTCACAAATATCTTGAGAAGGACTTCATATGAGGGCATGTTGGTAAAAAAAATAACATCTACCTATACTATACTCGAGGTTGTTCGTAGCAAGTGCAACCCCATGCCAAATCAACTTTGTTGTCAATTGTGCACACACCAACTTTGACAATACTTATTCTCTTTTTTTTTGGAACAGTCGGAATCCAATGATGGTGTTTGGCCTATAAGTAATATCTTAGCCTTCCCCGAGCTTCACTTCACTGAATGTTTCAAAAAAAAAATCATGTAATTGTGAAAAAAAATTCATGCAGTTGTGAGGAGGATACGAAGGGTAAAAATAAATTTAAAAATGAAAACTCCAATCATATTCATATTTTAATGTGGATTTACACAATTACTAACCACTTAGGTTGTGGACTTGTGGTGACTTGGTAAGACATGTGGAAGATATGATGAATAATCTATTGACTCATATCAAATCCTAACACTACTCAGCCCATGTGACCATGGAGGTTCGCCTGCAGTGACTCTAGCGCATGAGACATAGCCTCACGTTTGCAGCTAGGGATTAGTCGGTGCGCGAAAGCTGGCCCAAAAACTCTCGTTAGGGAATTTCACTTTAAAAAAAATGTCTGTGCCTTTGTGTGTTTATTTGATTTTCATTTATATTCGCATTTGATACTTTTGATTTTATTACGGCAGATGCTTTGGAGCTCCCCAATAAAGTTTATCGAGTTTTGCATAGTAATTTTATAACCCCAAGATACCACAACTAGTTTTGCATCGCAAAAAGTTAGTTATGTAGTTTGGTGCAAGTTTACCTTATACTTTAAATTAATATAAAAATCTTAATATTTTCTATTAATGATTATAAAAATATATAAAAAAACCTTTATATTTGCTTTATCTTGTACGTGTTGCTCTTGTTATTAAATATTTTACAGTATTTCCACTTTCTAATTAGCTATCCTTTTTATTGTTTATTCTTATGTTTGTTTATAAATATTCTGGAGCTTCTAAGTACAACAAGTTATCCATATTAATATTATGACCCACAAGATTTGAGAAAGTAGTTTTTAAAATAACTAGGTTCGCCACAAAAAAAGTAATTAGGAAGGCAACTTATTTTCCGTTTTTCTTCTACCTAAAAATCTTAATATTTTCTAGTTAAGCTATCCGTTTCGTTATTGAATCTTATATTTGTTAATGGAATCAAATATTTGGTATTTTTTCGGGTGTGCTTCGGATTGGTTAAGATATATTTAGATTGCGATGATAATCTTTTGGATCACCAAGATATGACAACAAATCTAGTAACAAATTAAACCCACTCTATCCTGGAATTGCTCATCACGAGTATGAAAGGATACGATTTTCATGACATGAGATGAGAGGTGCCATTTGCTTCATTCTTATTAGACAAAGGAAAGAAGAATTCTTATGACCACCAAATCAAACTAACTCGATTTTTTTTATTGGTTTGCTTTTAAACTAAGTGATCTACTGAGCCATGACTTCCACCTGCCGGACCTCTTCCGCGTAATCTCCGCCACACCCTCCGACTGCCCAGGCTTCTTCCATAACATGAAGTTCCTCACTCCGAACGTTCCGATCATCTCCCATGGACCCAAAGCTGCATCAAATTCATCAGAATCTTAGTTCTATCAACCCACAATTACATGCAACAATTAATCTAAAGTTCTTAAATATAAAAGATTTGGTAGTGTGGTAGGAATGTACCTTCTGTTCCGGCGACTGGAGTATACAGAAAGAAGTCACTGAATTTGGTGCCAAGAACAGGAAGACGATCCTCACGAGCGTAGGACTTGAGAGCGGTTTCAATGACGGCAGCCACCACCTCCTCCTCATTAACCACAAAACGGATGGGTCCGGGGCTTCCGACGACGTTTATCTTGATCAGAATTCGCTTGCCTCCGCTTTTCCTGACCTGATGATCCTTCTTCTGCTTGAAAGCCAGCATGCTTCTCCGCTAAACTAAACGGCGGAAGACGACGGTTATAGGTTGAAATTCAGGGTTCGGCGCCGATTCAGCGGTAGCGCCAAACCTCCTTGCGAAATCCAAGCGGAAAGATCTTTCTTGAAGGGAGGGAAGAGAACATGAACTGGTGAGGGACGATTACCATTAACAAATGGTAACTTGCCCGGAGAATTCGAGAGATTTTCAAATTAGAAGAAGCGATTAGAAGTTTCGGATTGTTCGAAGATATATATAACGGTGACCGGAGTATTGATGAAATTTGCAGACACTTGCGTACCACGTTTCAAGATCCTGTGTCTTTGTTGTCACACCCTCACAGCGTTTGGGCCTGTATATAGGGTAATTTCTGAAAAACGTAAAAGGACGTGACTAAAATGGTATTGTTATGTAATCGGGCTTTCCTGGTCAAATAATATTTTATATTGGCCTTCTTAAAAATCAATATCATAATTACTTAATATTGTACGCGTTTAAAATATTATATTTATCCAAAATAAAATTATAAAATATTACTTTATAATTTTTTATATCTTAAAATTACTATAATAATTAAAAAAAACTTCCCACATTATTACTATGTCTAAATTGATAAAGTAACTACTTCTAAATTATTGGAACGTTGTCTTCTTGACAATCACAACACACAATCTTCATCCATCTCCTTGGAATGTATGCATTTATTGTTTTTTTTTTGTTGCTTACTATTGTAATGTTGTAAATGAATGATATTTTAGATATTACTCTTAATAGTATGATATTTAAGGACATATTATGATATTTTGATATTAAGAAGGAAATATACGATATTATGATATTTAAAAATGACATGATATTTTGATGTTTAAGAATGTCATATATGATATTTTGAAAGTTATGAAAGGTAAATATGATATTTAAAAATTAAGTTGGATAAACATGATATATTGATGCTTTGAGCTTCATATCGACTGTCGAACAAGGATATCTGGAAATGGATGATGTTGGTGGGCTTACCAGATGAAGGCGGTTATGGGTGTTCCCAAATCATTTCGATTTGTGGTGGATTCAAAGTTGCAACAGTGATAGTTGTGGTGGATTTTACCGATGTCCCTGAATTTGATGTGAATAGAGATTCAGGACTCAAGATCATCTCTACAATTTATATGCAATTGTTTTTATGTTAATTGATATTTGGAAGAGTTTACTCTATTGATTGAAATTTAGTCCCAATGCTAGAAGTGGAAGTAATGGTTCTTTTTGATTCGTATCATATTGTTAATTCCATTTTGCACGTTTATTGTATTGATTTTTTTTTTTTTTATCTATGTTGGTTAAATATTTTAGCCGAAGAATGTTTGTTATACTCGGATTTTGTTTTATACTCAAATTTACATAAAGCAAAATGCCATTGGAAAATCTAGTTTTTTCTTATATGAAAAAAATATGGCACAAGGCGGTGGATTGTAGTCAACAATATCTAAACAATGTTGAGTATTTAGTATTATTAAGGTTAGTGGAAGGTACTAATAATTTCCATCACTTCCAATCTATTTGTCACATCAGTGTTTTTTCTCTCCTTTCGTGTTCATCCCTCTCATCCCACAACATATGAAAATCTGTCTTTTTCATCCCCAAAAACCATTTAATTTTGTTATTTTAAAATAAATAAAAACTAATTCACAAAATATTAAAAACAAATAAAACTAATTCACAAACTAATTAAGAAACATACAAAACTATTTTGGTACAAGTTTAGCATTATTTCTTGTTCCTTGTCTGGTTGTGGGCTTATGGTAGAATCAAGTATTCGACTGTCCATCAAGTCCGGTGTTATGTATGATTAGCATACACGAGCATCTGCAGGGTTAGTGGAAGTTTCATAAGTGAGTACGGTTTGTAGGAAGTCAACATAAGGAATGATTAGCCGCTCTCTCGAGAGTGAGTATAGGATGTATACGTATCCTAGTTTAGACTTTGTGATCGAATTGTACGTGACGGTCCCTTGAGACAAATGCGGGTAGGTATGGAAGGTAGTATGGGCCCATACTACTGAAAGCACAGGACTTATACGCATATCAAGAAAGTCACGAACCCCGAGGGTTGAGTAGTTCCGAGTTGATATAGTAGATTTGATTATGAATCTGTTTCTGATGTTTTTCCGGTCTACTTTCAGTATGCCGATCACTAAAGGTTCTGGATTAGGAGCTGGCGGCCCGGCTAGGCCGGGATTGACGGATAATGAGATCCATGAGATGATCACCACCCAGGTGACCATGGCTGTGATGGAGGCAATCGTGGAGGTTCTTAGGTCTATTAAGACCACCATGATTGAGATGTTTGACGAGCGCTATGTTGCCGTCAGCGAGGTTGCTGCCACCACAACCATTGTAGTTGTTGTTGCTGTAGGACTCCAGGGGAGAGGAATGATTCAGTATCGGGACTTCAGCAACACGAAGCCCTCGAAGTTCGACAGGGTCAAGGACCCGATTGTGGCCATGAGATGGATATATGATGTGGAGGGATGTTTCTTCACATGTTTGCGCCCGAATAACCAGATGGTCGAGTTCGCCTTGAACCTTCTTCTCTTGGGGGCAAAGGATTGGTGGCAGTTGGTGACCAGTGCTTATACTCCTGCAGAGAAGGCCGCAATGACTTGGGAGCAGTTCCTTGATATGTTCCGCGGTGAGTATGTTCCCCTAGTTGAGAGAGAGGGAGAGAGAGAGGTTAGCTCAGGAGTATCTGTCGCCGAAGCAGACGAAAAAGTCTGTGATGAAGATCACCAAGATGTTCACGGAAAGAGCCCTTTTTGCCCCAAGTATGCTGCTTCGGAGCAGGTCCAAATGTCTCGTTACTTGAGCATGCTCAAGAAGGAGATCTGTGAGTTTGTATCGACCCAACGGTATAGTTCTCTCTTCGAGCTGCAGTCTTTTGCTCGGAGGGGAGAGATTGAGATTGAGACCCAGACTAGGGAGAAAAGGCAGGCCCCATTTAAGACGTAGTCAACAGCAAAGCGGTTTAAGCCCACTGATTCACAATCTGGGGGTAGAGGGGCCGCACTTGTGGCAAGTACAGGAAGGCTCATGAGGGAGTGTGTCAATCAACGACAGCATGCCATAATTACGGCAATGTGGGGCATTCCATGACAGACTGTCGCCAGCAGGCTCCGCCTCCGAGCACCAGGATTTTTACCATTGTGATCAAGTTGGACATGTGAAGGTCAGTTGCCCATTGCTTGTTGCGAAGCCGGTGCAGGAACTGGCTCCGACCACTCTTCAGATCACAAATGGGCAACATGGAAGGGCTGAGACACCGAGGGCTAAGGGGCGTGTGTTTCATCTCACAACAGAGGAGGCCAGTGCGACACGTGGAGTTTTTACCGACATGTATTTATTATTATTATGTTCACTTATTCCTTATTTACTCATGCTTGTATTTCTAATAGGTACATTCTTAGTGAATTCTTTGCCTGCTCTTGTGCTTTTTGACTCGGGTGCCAGTCGATTTTTTGTATCTCGGTCCTTCAGTAGGGATTTTGTCGTGTCGGTTGGGGAGCTGGAGTGTCCGTTGCGAGTCTCCATCGACAAAAAGCACATGGTTACAACTTCAAGTGTTTTTTTGGGATTGTATTGTGGAGATAGTCGGGGTATCTTACCCGATTGACTTGATTCCCATCCCTATGGGGGATGTGTGCGTGATTGTCGGGATGGATTGGTTAAGCAGATTTGGCGTCATGATTGACTGTGAGAGACAACTGGTGATAGTTCGAACCCTAAGTAGGGGAGAACTTACTATTTATGGAGAGGATACGAGGGCTGGTTCGGCCTTTTGTTTCACTGCTAGGACTCGACAGTACCTTCAACATGGGTTTTTGGGTTATCTCGAGTATGTGGTTGACACTAGGGTTGAGGGGAGAGTTTCGATTTCAGATGTGCAAGTAGTCAGGGAGTTTCCAGATGTATTCCTAGAGGATTTACCAGGCGTGCCTCCCGTGAGGCAGGTGGAGTTCAGGATCGATCTGATTCCCGGGGCGACACCGATTGCCAACGCGACATATCGCATCGCACCGCCAGAGATGTAGGAGTTGTCCTCTTAGCTTTAAGAGTTGTTGTGAAAGCAGTTTATCCGACCGAGCAGTTCACCCTAGGGAACACTGATTCTGTTTATGAAGAAGAAGGATGGGTCTCATCGTATGTGCATAGACTATCGGGAGTTGAAAAAGTTTATAGTGAAGAATCGCTAACCACTCCTTAGGATTAATGGTCTCTTTGATCAGTTACAGGGTGCATCTTGGTTCTCCAAGATTGATCAGAGGCGGAGTTACCATCAGATGAGATTCAGGGAGGAGGACGTGGAGAAGACATTGTTTTGAACTCATTATGGTTATTATGAGTTTGTGGTGATGCCGTTTGGACTCACCAATGCACCGGCGGTGTTCATGGATTTGATGAACCGGGTGTGTAGACTGATGCTCGATCGGTCATTCATTGTGTTCATTGATGATATTATGGTCTACTCCAAGACCAGGGAGAAACATGAGGAGCATCTTAGAGAGCTACTTGGAGTACTGAGATAGGAGAGGCTTTATGTCAAGTTCTCTAAGTATGAGTTCTAGTTACGGGAGGTCCAAGATCTGGGACACCTCGTCAATCAAAACAGGATTGTGGTCGATCCGGCCAAGATAGAGGTAGTGATGCAGTGGGAGGTCCCGAAGTCTCCATCTGAGATTATGAGTTTTCTAGGATTGGCTGGTTCTTATTGGAGATGTAATCATGATTTCTACAAGATTGTTGTTCCTCTGACCCGCTTGACGAAGAAGGGTGTAGATTTCCATTGGGGACCCGAACATCGGGCTACACTTGAGACTCTGAGGAGGAAGTTATGTGAGGCCTCGGTATTGACCCTCCCAAAGGGTTTTGAGGATTTTGTAGTGCTTCGTGATGCCTCGATCATGGGGTTGAGGGCAATACTCATGTAGCAGGGTAGGGTTATAGCCTATGTGTCCA